ACTTTAAATGATGGCATGTCAAAAGACAGAGAAGTCCTTAGCTGACTTCCGACGTCTGTCGAACTCTCTGCGTTAGCAGAGAGGAACCCGGACTAGGCTTTGCCGAAGGGCAAGGTTTCGTCCGGGGAGATAGACAGGACCTGAACCCGTCTAGGCGGGTTCATGGGCTATATTTTTGGCCGAGCCTATGGGCTCGGATCAACCCACATTAAACTCGGCCTTGTGCCACATTCAATCCTCGTGGGGGGATCGATAAATACTCAGAGAAGTCCTTAGCTGAGCTAGTTATTGACTACTCAGGCGATTTCTGTACCTATTTACCAACCTATTAAAAGCCTTTTTATTGTTACGTGTTATTTGGCGTTTGTCTCTACTAACCCCAAATCAACATCATAACACATTGCGAAGTGATTTATCTATGTATAATGTGCGTGTTGTTAGATTGCTTTACTTTTAATTTTTTTCTACGAAAATGTTTAATTAAAATGTTATGAAGCTATTTATGACTGATAAGAAAGCGAAAAAAAAAGTACACAAAAGAAATCAAAGGAAATAAAATAATAATAATAATAATAATAATAATAATAAAAGCTATCAAAATACAAGGACCTTGTAATCGAAATCTCAAAAATGTGGCACATGGGAACATCAACAATCCTTGTTGCATTTGGAGCCCTAGGATTGGTTGAAAAAATTCCAGTAGACTAACTGAAGGGATTCCTGGAAGCCCATGTCTTAAAAAAACACAAAAAACTGTTCTTACGAGTACAGCCCACTCTTTACGAAGGGCTTTGTCGATGTAAAAAAAAAAACAGTTGAAAATGTCATGATGCCATTTCTAACCTTAGGTCTCTGGGCGGGACCCGGAAAGAAATGAGTACACACCAGACATCAAAGGAAGTAAAATAATAATAATAATAATAATAATAATAATGAATATAGAAAAATATATGTACTGTTAGATTGCTTTATTTTTAATTTTTTCACAAAAATGTTCAATAAAAATGTTTTGAAGATATTACTGACGTTCAATTACTGACAAGGAATCAAAAAGAAATGTGTACACAACAGGAATCAAAGGAAATAAAATAATAATAATAATAATAATAATAATAAAAGCTATCAAAATACAAGGGCCTTGAAATCGAAAGGGATTCCTGGAAGCCCATGCCTTAAAAAATACAAAAGTTTGTTCTCACGATTATATATCAAAAAGTGATATATTTACATGCAAGTGTGCTAATTACATAATCAGATTATATGCATATATACGCACACACATATGCACATGTAAACGTAATTGAATGTA